GGAAAGCTCGGGATTTGGAACCCAACCATGAGGCGGTTTGCAACCTTGACCAAACCCGAAAGCTGCTGGGAATACACGCTAGGCTTTATGGGATACGACCCGATCGATGGTACATACAAAGTTGTGTGTATGCCTGAGGTTTATTCTTCTACTTACCCTGAGCCAAGGAATCAGGCTCGGGTTCTTACACTGGGAACAGGTCAAAAATCATCATGGAGATTCATCCAAGGTAGCTTTGAACATTTCCCTCGCCGTGGTGGACGATGCATCAAAGGGGTTTTGTATTACGAAGCCCATCTTAGTTCTGATCTTACTCACCGCATTGTGATGAGCTTCCATGTCAAATCTGAAAAGTTCAAAATGATACAAGTGCCATGGAGTCAATCCGAGGGTATCCTCTTAGCTTACCAAGGTAAGTTAGCTTTAGCTTGGCAAGCTTCCGTAATCAGTTTTGATCCCTTTATTTCGCTGTGGGTTTTGGAGGATGCAGAGAGACATGAGTGGTCGTTTAAACGTCTTTCTCTACCTTTTCCTCTCGAGGATCCATTTTTGGAAACCTCATTATTTCTTAAGGGTGTGACATCAGCTGGTGAGTTCGTTTATGCCTCATCTTCTTGGTCTGTTTCGTTTGATCCATTTCATGCTCTGTATTTCGATCCAAAGAGGAACACCGTCAGAAGAGTCATTTATCAAGGACTTGCAGAACCCGAATTTCGCCGTGATGGTCTTGGAAAAGTAGTGACCATGTCTATGTTTCCCGATCACATTGAGAGTCTCTTGTCTGTGTAACACTATTTATTTTATTTTTCTTTTCCTTGGGATAATGGCACAATTAAATTTTACTATTTCTTGTAATAATCCTCATCTTCATCCGGTGTTAAACAGGTTTTAGTGCCTTTATAACTCTCACTTCTTAGATTCACAACAAAACAAGAACAACTCTGTTTATCTCTTTCATAAAATCATCACACTAGTATAGAGACGTCAAGGTGTCTTCCATTGAGCTTTGTCGAACTGTTACCGTCTCAACTACTCTATGTTTGCTTTTAGTTTAGAAACCAGATCAGTTTACACTAATGAAACCTAATCTCTGCTTCTACTATATGAGCAATATAAATCTTGGTTTAGAGATGAAGCAAACACATAGAGTTAACCGGAGGTTTTTTCATTATATGGGTAACTAAAATCTACAATATTAAAGTGTGGAAGTACAAATTCCTGATGAAGGCTGAGAACCATTATACTGTATATATTCTTTTGCATGAAACTCTGTTATATTATTTAAAACGACAAGGGCACTGAGATTACCTGAATCTGGGGACCTTTAACATCGATCATGTCACCAACTCAAGAAAATTGCTCTCTCAATATCCTTTTCATTGGTACCTGACGACTAACAAAGCATTTGAATTCAACATCTAAAATACAAATTAGGGTTTCTAAGTAGAGACAACAAAGAGACTTGTGAGTCAAGTAATCACGTTCAGATTTGACTCATTTTTGTAATTTTTTTTTTCCAATGGTGATTTTAAAAAGCTTAAAGGAAATTTTAAAGTTAACCTGTGGTTAAAAGTAAGATTCAAGTTGTCAAAAAAATAATAATAATAATAAGAAGAAGAAACTTTTTTTTTCTTTTCTTTTTAATCTAATGTTAAATTATATTCAAAATAAAAATAACGTTTTTACAACAAGTGCGATATTTTCTTAAAATTTTGAAAAAAGCTTACAGAGGACTCAACTCATAATTAAATACGGGATTGGAGCCATCGTTGGAAACCTTCGGCATAGCGTCTATCCCCGAGTTTACTAATCATGGAAAGCTGGTTTTTAACTTGTATGTCAATCCAGTCCGTGAGGCGAGCAGCAGTATTTGGAGCTTCCCCATGACGTCCTTCATTGCGTTCTTTCCAAACTGTGTAGATAACTGTTTGGAACACATACCGGAGTAGAAAAGAGTTGACGATATCAGATTGCTGCGTCGAGATAAAGTCGATGAGAGAATACCAATCAGTGGAGTAGCGAGATTTCATGAGGCCCTTAGCCAGAGGCGCCCAGATTTCCGCGACGTAGGCACAAGAGAAGAACAAGTGGTCCCGAGTCTCAACATGGTATTGACAAAAGCCACAAGAAGAAGAAATTTTCTTTAGCTTAGAGGAAAACTTCATATACAAATTTTAAAGTGATTTTTTTTTTTTTCAATTTTTATTTATTTATGAAGCTTTGTATACGATAGTGTTTTTTCTTCCAAAAAAAGGTGAAAATAGGAGTAAGTAGAGAAAACCACATTTTCACCAAATCAAATGTATTAGAACGAGGGTTTAAGAGAAGCAAATTTTAAAAGTGATCTAATACAAATCATTTTGAAAAAGAAAAAAAAATACAAATCATTTTGGCTTTTTATTTATGATGATTGATAAACATCCTTTTAAAAACGAACCTTCTGAAAACCCATATAAAATAAGAGAGCATTTATTTATACTCATTATGGTTTCACTATAAATACACAAACGTAAATAAAAAAGGGAAAAATGTCATAAAAATCCCGAACTTTTAAATTTGGGACGATTTAATCCTGAACTTTAAAGAAGTCATTTTAATCACAAAGTTTTGTTGACTTTTCCGTAAAATAGCTAAGTTTTGTTGACTTCACTTATTTAAGCATGACATTTAATTTTTGTTAAAAACTTGAAGATGTGGTTAACTATCCGTGAGTTGCTTCCGTTCCAAACCACAAAACGATGTCGTTTAACAAACTGAAGAAACTAAATCCCAAAATCGATTCATAATTCACAAATCTAACTCCCAAACCCTAGAAAAATCCACAAATTATCTTTACTTCTTGTTGAATTGTTGCCATTGCGCGGACCCATGGAGGAAGAAAACGACTTCCAACGTCGTTTTGTCGTCTAAGAAACATGGTCATTTATGCTAAACAGAAGCAGCTCACAGATAGTTAACCACATCTTCAAGTTTTTAAAAAATAAATAAATGTCATGCTTAAATAAGTGAAGTCAACAAAACTTAGCTATTTTACGGAAAAGTCAACAAAACTTTGT